TACCCTTCACAGAATGGGGAACTATCCCTTGGGATATGGAACACAGGTCTGGTAACTCACAAACAAACGTTAGAATGGTCTCACTGTCACTCCCAGTGACCCATTGGGGAAATTATGATTCTCATTGCCACAACTTTAGACTCTGTGGGTCTAATGTTCCTGGTTCTACCAAGCAACATAGTAAAAAAAATTCCTGAGGGCTGGGTGCAGTGGCTCATGCCTGTAATCCCAGTGGCTCAGGAGGTTGAGGCAGGAGGATCACAAGCTCAAAGGCAGCCTCAGCAACTTAGCAAGGCCCTAAGCAACTCAGTGAGACTCTGTCTCTAAATGAAATATAAAATAAGGGCTGAGGATAATAGCTCAGTGGTTAAGCAACTCCTGGGTTCAATCCCCAGTACCAAACAAATAAACAAACAAACAAAAAATCTCAATCTGTTTTCCAAAGTTGCTGTACAATTTATAGTACATTCTCACTCGAAATTAGAATTCTTCACCAATATATGATATTTTAAAACTTTTAAAAGTTTGTTAAATATGGTGAGCATTCAGGAGCATTTCACTGTTCCAATTAGTATCTGTTTAGTAATTATGATAAGAACACTTCTCAATATTTAACCATTTGGATTTCCTCTATTGTGATATGCATAATCAATTTGCCTATTTTTCTAATAGGTTTTCTGCCTTTTTTCTTACAATCTTAAATAGTTCTTTACATATTTGTTTGTTTGTTTTTTGTGGTGCTGGGGATTAAACCCAGGGCCTTCTGCATGCAAGGCAATTAAATAGTTCTTTACATATTTGGAAACAAGTTCTTTGTTTTTGTTAGTGGGATATAAAGGGTATAACTATCTTCTCCCAGTCTATTGCTGGTATTTTTATTCTTTTTTAAAAATATATTTTTAGTTGTTGATAGACCTTTTTTATTTTATTTATTCATACATGGTGCTGAGAATCGAACCCAGTGCCTCACACACGCCAGGCAAGCGCGCTACCGCTGAGCCACGGCCCCAGTCCACTGTATTTCTATTCTTTTAATGGTATTTGTTGGTGAACAGAGGTATTTTAATAAAATTAAATTTACTAGTTTTGCTTTCATAAATGTGGTTTTATATTTTCAATCATATTTTATCTAATTACTTTTTTGTTATTTATTTCTGACTTAATTGCACTCAACTCAGATAATGTGATCTGCACAAGACTCAAGTCTTTGAAATTTACTTCCAACTTGCTTTATGGAGTAACATATTGGCAATTTTCTTAATGATTCCAGGCAGGCTTAACTATACCAAGTCCCAAGTGCCATATTTTAAATTTGTCCACTAGGTTAAGCTTGTCAAATGTGTTGTTCAAAATTCTACATGCTTATTTATTTTGCTTCTTGGATCTATCAGCTAGGGAAAGAGTAGTCTTGAAATTTTTCTCTATGTAGGTTGGTTCATTAATTCCCCCTCAAATATGTGTCAAATTTTTCCTGATACATATTAGCACTCTTATAATGTGTGATAATTTTCTATATTTTAACAAATTGAGACTTCTGTAATTTTATAGCAACCCTTTTTACTGTTAAAGCTTTGCTGTAAAGTCTATTTTCTCTTCAGTTAGCTTTCATTTAGTGAGTATTGCTTTCTATATCTTTTCTTTTCCTCCTTGTTCCCTTCCTTCCTTCCTTCCTTCTCTTCTTTCCTCCCTCTTTCCTCCCTCCCTCCCTTCCTTCCTTCCTCTCTTTTTGTTTTTAATTGCTGTACTGGGGATTGCACTCAGAGACATTTTACCATTGAGCTACTTCCCTGCCTTTTTAATTTATTTTGTTTCTCATCAAGCTGCTGAGGTCAGCCTGAAATTTTTGATCCTCCTGCCTCGGTCTCCCGAGTAGCCAGGATTACAAGTACAAACCACCCTATTTCTCTTTCTATATTTCCAAGCAATATGTTTTACTTCCAAACATTTTCTGTCGTTTGTTTAAGGTAACCTCTTATAAATGGTATACCTCTGGTTTAAAAGAAAACTGACAATATTGGTCTTCTCTCTATCAAAATTTAGTCCATTTAAATTTGTTGTGCTAGTTCATTTAAATTAGTTTGGATTTGTTTTTTAGAGAGAGAGAGAGAGAGAGAGAGAGAGAGAGAGAGAATTTTTTTTAATATTTATTCTTTAGTTATCGGCGGACACAACATCTTTGTATGTGGTGCTGAGGGTCCGAACCCCGGCCGCACGCACGCCAGGTGAGCGCACTACCGCTTGAGCCACATCCCCAGCTCAAATTAGTTTGGATTTTATCATATTCTTTTAGGCTTTTTATTTGTTTTTCCTCTATATGTTTTCTTTTCTTCTTTCTTTTGGGCAATTTGTCTTTTCTCTCACTCATTTCATTTGTTCCTTAGAGTATTTAGAAAATGACCTTCTTTTTATCTTGTTTATTCTTGACTACCTTAGACATTTTGACATGCATGCTTATCCAGTATTAGGTTAATACTTCAACATCCCCTGAAGATGGTCAGAACCTTAAAATTCTTTAGGTACAATTATACACTTCCAACACATGTGCTGCTGTCTTGCAATAGCTTCATTTTTCCAACACTAAATTAGATATTTTTTAAAATATTTATTTTTTTAGTTGTAGATGGACAGCATGCCTTTATTTCATTTATTTATTTATTTTTATGTGGTGCTGAGGATCGAACCCAATGCCTCACATATGGGAGGCGAATGCGCTACCACTTGAGCCACATCCCCAGCCCCAGATATTTTAATTACTCTTTACAGATCTGGATTTTCAGACTGATGTACATAGTTTCCCGTGGTTCTCTCACTATTTATTTATTTATTTATTCTGTGGTATTAGGGACTGAACCCAGGGGCGCTTGATCACTAAGCCACATCCCCAGCCCCACCCTCTTTTTTTTTTTTTGAGACAGGACTTGCTACTGCTGCAAGTGAGACGGGCCTCATTAAGCTGCCGAGGCCAGTTTTCATTCATTTCAAACTTTCCAACTAGAATAATTTTCTTCCACCAAAAATCCATCCTTTAAAGTTCTCTGTGTCTTGTTAGGAATATTATATTTCAGCTTTTGTGTCCATCCTGGCCTTTATTTTGTGCTCTGAAAAGATTGTTTCCTGTATATAAAATTTCTAGGTCAACGCTTATTTTCTCTCAGCACATTGACAATATTATTCCTCTTGTTTCAGGCTTCTACTTGTCTTTGAGAAGTCAGCTGCCAGTTTAATTGCTGTTTCCTTATTGTTTGTCTCTACCAGCTTTAGATATGTTGTATTTGTACTCGGTTTTCTGCAATGTTGTGTGATGTGTGCCTCGGGGTGCTTGTCATTTATCTTACTTGTAACTGGTTGGATTTCTCGCATGGGAGGTTTGATATTTTTCATCAGTTCTGAAAACTTAACCAGGTATGGTGGCATACACTGGGAATCCCAGAAAGAGTGAGGCAGGGGAATCCAAGTTCCAGGCCAGTTTCAGCAACTCAGCAACACCTTGTCTCAAAAAAACCCTCAAAAATAAAAAAAGGCTGTGTTGTGGCTTAATGGTAGAGTGTTCCCAGGTTCAATTTCCAGGACTGCAAACAAAACAAAACAAATCTTGAAAAATTACCAGCTATCATATCTTACAATATTTCCTCTAGGCAATTTTCTCTGTTATATACCCAAATTGGATGTATGTTTATCTTTTCCCTTTTAACTTCAATGTCTCTTAATCTCTCTTTTTATATTTTAGGTTATTTATCTGGACATACCCCCTTGTTTGCAAATTTTTTCTCGAGTTGTGTCTAATGCATCATTTAATCTGGATTAACTCCAATCATTTTTTACGATTCTAATTATTTTACTTTTATTCCTAGAAATTCGATTTATTTTCTAAATTGAAATTTTTTCTCTACTCATATTTTCATGTCATTTTTATATCTTAGAAAATATTGAACATTTTTTTAAAACATTTTTTAATTGTCAATAGACCTTTATTTTATTTATTTTTTTTTTATAAGCAGTGCTGAGGATTGAATCTAGTGCTTCACACATGCAGGGCAATGCTCTGCCACTGAGCCACAACCCCAGCCCCTGAACATTTTTATATTAACCCACCATCCAAGAATTCAAGGAGCTGTGGTACATGCCATGACCTTGTGTCTTTTTGCTCTTGTTCACTGTACCGTATTTCCCCATATGGTTTTGTAAGGTGTAGCTATCTATGACCCATTTCTTGGAGTTTCTTTGTCAGAGTTGAAGCTCAGATCTGGCAGAAGGCCCACGCCAACCACAGAAGGAGGTTTCTCAAGCAGGACTATGTTTTGAAAGGGCAAGAGATAAATAAATAAAATATATTTGAAACTCTGCTATAACCCGCCTTGAAGGATGAGTTCTGCTTAAAAGTTCTCAAGGAATTTTCTTCCTCTGCCTAGAACAATGTAAGGAAAGATGATCTCTTGCTTCTATCTTTTGTAATGGTTAGTTTAATTTATCTTTATTCTAAGAGAGTGATCCTTAGGGGTTCCAGCTTCATCGTGGTGTCTCTGTCACACTCCCACTGAGTTAGGTGGTGAGCTTTCTGGTTTCCCTCCCTCATCCCGATCAACTGCCCATGTAGGGCCCAGGGACCCAAGCAGGAGTCAGAAGGTTAGCTTTCCTACCTCCCAGCTTCCATCTTTCATAAGGTTTTGGTGTCTGTGTGTTTGTCACCTGGATTCTTCTTCAGTGGCCAGGGATCATAGATGGTGTAGAGAGAGCCATGGGAGGGAACAGATCAAAGCCTGACCCCACTTGGACCAGAACCTGGCTTGATCACCTTTACTTGCTTTCATTTTCAAGTAAACTCTTTTTTTTAATTTATTTTTATTATATTTTATTTTTTATTAGCTACACATGACATTATAAGTAAGCTCTTGTTGTCACTATAATAGAGTGTTCCCTCCTTAACAACTGTTGAAATATTAAAACATCAGCTGAGGCCATCCTAAAGGCTTTAGGATGCACTCAATATATAATATTTCACTTTAGCTTGCCAGATTGTGGACCTCGTAGTTCTGGAAAATGGTAAAAATGTCTCCATGCCTCCTGGGTGAGAAGTGGTTTCGGACTACCCCTAGCAGCTGGCGGTAGCGAATCATGTACAGGTATGGGAGCATGGCACGGGGCAGCATCATGAGCACCTCACTGTTGGCTGCCAGGAGCCATGCATGGGTGCTGGAACCAATGTGGTGGTACTTGGTCAGCATGATGTCCAGGGAGAATACCACCCCTGTGCCTACATACAGTGTGATCAGCACCATGTGGATTAGCAGGGTACCTCTGGCCCGGGAATAGCCTTGTGTGCAGATGCCTGAAGGCCTGACCTCTGCATAAATCTTCCAGAAGCAGTAGATAATGAGAGCTGTGCACAGAAAGAGAATGCACACTATGGAGGTGTGGGTGACAGTGACCAAGGTGCCACGGCTCTGCTCAGTGCCCAGGCCTAGTGGCAGGATGCAGGAGGTGTCTTGTTTCTCCAGACTGGCATCCTGCTGCTTGCTAAACCAAAGGAGAAATGTGGGGAAGATGCAGGCCACCAGCCAGATGAGGGCCACTGTCTTCCTGGCAGCTCTGCCAGACACGAAGGAGAGGTAGCGCAGAGGATGAGTAACAGCCAGGTAGGTGTGCAGCACAGTGGCTGTGAAGGACAGGATGGTGCTAGTATAGGAAGCAAAGACAGCATCCCTTAGGATGCCGCAGACGATGCGGCCCAGCTCCCAGCCACTCAGGCTGCTGGAGGAGATGAGTGTATGCAAGAAAATGTAGGCAAGATCTGAGAGCAGGATGTTGGCCAGCAGCAGGTACTGGGGCTGATGCCTCAGCCTCTGGCTCCGCAGGATGGTCACCAGCATCAGGGGGCTCAGGGCCAGTGTGGCCACCATCAGTAGACTAGAGGGAAGGAAGAGCCAGCGCAGCCCGGAGATGGGTACTCTAATGTCCCTGAAGCCCTGGGAGGTGTTACTGGCTGCCTGGGGAGTGCAGAGTGTCTTGCTGAAGAGCTGGACTGGATCTGGCCAGGTCGTAGTGGCCAAGGGGCAGGATGCCAGCATAATTCTTTGCAGGTGGGGCTAACTGTGTAGCAGATTGTTGGTTCTGCACTTGCCCAGAGTATTAATCCACCCTTCAGGGATCCTGAGGGGACCCCTCCTTTGCAGAGATGCTGGGCTGGGGCAGACTCTAGAAATGACTGTTCAACAAATACAAAAACAGCAGTGCAAAATGTAGCTCACACATGGCTCCTTTGCTCAGGCTCCTTTGCTCTGCAACTGTGGGCGTGGATTCACATGCTGGAATTCATCCCACAGGTGTGGGGGATGTTGAGTCCCATCTTGACGTCCCCCCCGACACACACACACCTGTCTGGTTGGCTTGCAGGCACCGTGTAATGAGTGCTCGCCACAGTGGATTGGATTCAGCGCTGCCCTGCCAGAGGAAAGGAACAGCCATCAGGGAACTAAAATTGCAGGGCTATGGATCCGCCTGACCTCTGACCTGCTGAGGGCTCAGGAAATGAGGCCAGGCTGGAGGAGCCCGGGCACATTGACATTTTTGCCTCACAGAACACTGGGGCCCTGTCACTGTGGGGGACTGCGGGAAGGTGTAGCCATGTGCACGGGTGTTTCCACACCCATTCTGCACAGGGCTCCATGTGGGAGCAATCTGCAGGCACAAAGTCTCAGAAGACTTGTGGGGGGTTTCTGTGTGGTGAGAACTTCCTTGCCACTGGGGAGGAAGAAGGAGGCCCGGCAGGCAGAGGTCTCAGAAAACCTAGTGAGAAGGAGAGGGAGGCTGGAAGAGGTAAGTGGGTGGCAGGCTTCTGGGCAAGTGGGACAAATCAAGTTGTTAAATGATGTACACAGTGGAGAGCGCTTAGAGGAGGCCCATGGCTGGGGTGGCAAGGAGAAGGGAGCCAGTTCAAGTCACATGGTTAGGCACCCCTCCCCTCTCTCCTCTCTGTTTCTGTCTCAGTGCTGGCTGCAGGGTCTGGAGAAGCTTTGCTCTCCTTTCTATGTTAGTTTCCTTTTCTGTGAAACATGAATACTGTCCCTACTGACAGCATAGAAACATTGCAAAAAGTCCAGAGGCATTTTTATTAATATATTTTTTAAATTGGCATAAGTATGTATATAGTAATTACTACATACAGTAATTACTATATAATTATATAGTGATTATATAATGGGACATTAAGGTACCCATCTCTAGGACATTAAGGTACCTTGAGCCCCCTGATTCTGGTAACTATCCTGCAGAGCCAGAGGCTGAGGCATCAGCCCCACTACCTCCTGCTGGTCACCAGGGGTACCGTGTGGCATTTCAATCCACGTATGTGAAGTGTAGTGATCAGAGTATTTGGCATTTCCATCACCTCAAACATTTATCATTATTGTGTGTGCGGGGGAACATTTAGAATCTTATTCGTCAATTTGAAATATTCAATCAAATGTTACCCATTGTAGTTACCTTTCTGTGCTATAGAGTCTTAGAAGCTATTCCTGCTATCTAGCTGCACTCCTGTTCCCATTAACCATCCTCTCTCCATTGTTCCGGTCACCGAACTCTTCCCAGGCTCTGATAAGCACGATTCTCTTTTTCTTTGAGATCAACTTCAGTTTCAACATCACAGACTGAGAGGCAGCGTATAGATGGAGGGAAATGTCTAATAAATATTAGTTTCCCCCCCCCCACAATACCCTTTGAGGCTTCAGACTCCCTTGTCCTTACCTTAGACCCGGCCATATTATGCCCCCGAGACCTTCACTCCAACACTCACCACAAGTCCTGGCACACTGACTGCTCTATGGGGCAGCAGCCACAAGGGAACAAGGAGAATGTTCTTCTTGAGAACAAGCAGAAGATTCTTAAGGTCAGAAGAGAGCAGGAATTTTAGCCCCTGCCGCGTGTGAGAGGCCCTGCCTCACAACACTAATGCTTCGTGGACCAGACTGGAGTTTGATACACCAGAACATGCCTGATCCATGATCCATGGGCCCTTAGACCTTGTGAGTTGTACACCTCCTGCCCATCTACTCTTTCTCAGTGTGCTGTAGCATTCTCCTCCGTGGACTTCGGAGGAAATATGGCTCCACCTATAGTAACTAGCTGTATGATTTGGACCAATTACTTCACCTCTCTGGGTCTCTGTGTCCCCATCTAGGGCCTGTGATGGCTGCAACCCATCACTCATAGGAGCTGGTGTTCTTTGGGAGGCAGCCTCTTTCTTAAATGTACTCCATAGACCAATTGTACTTTCAAATCTCTAGGACACAGTGAAAAGATGTAGCAAGGAGAGACTGAGACATTAGAAGTTCACACACTTGGAGAACCCAGGGAACCTGATCCAAGACTTGTTCTTCTCATCCCAGACAGCCTTGCTGCAACAGATTCCCTTCAGAATCTATGATGGCAGAGGGAAGACTGTCTTTCTGCCTCAATTTCCTGACTTGCACACCCTAAGGTGTCCCTTAATACTTCTATGAATTGTTTTGCAGGTCTAACTGGCCCCAGGATCTGGAGAGGGAGCAGGGCCTTTCCCAACATACAGGGGGTAGTGGAGCTGAGGTCTGGGTCAGTGTTGCCCTCTGCAGTCTTTGAATGCAGATTTCCTGGGAGAAGGAAACCTGTTAATTGACAAACCATCCATAAAATTGTGACTGTGTGCTATATCCTTCTGATAACTGGCGGCAGGTGATAAGCCACAGCTCCATGGAAACCGGAAGAGCATAATTCCCATGCTGAATGAGCTACTGCTAGGTGTAATAAAGAAAGAGACCTGCCTTCCGTTGAGGATCACTTTATGACCAAGCTGTACATAAAAAATCTCTTAGCAGAGTGAGGGTGCTGCCCTTGGGGAACATAGTTCGGTCTCACCTTCCCTGAGTGTCCCCGCCCAGGTTGCCTGTCCTCCTGAATTGTGGAGCAGCATAGATGTGGGATCACCCAGGGCCAACCTTGCTTGGACAGGCTGAATGTGTCCTGGGGTAATGGGGTGGGATTGGGGGTGGGGGCAGATAGCAGTGGCACTGCCTTTCCGGGGTTGATTTTCCCCAACCTTTAACTGGTCTGCTCTACTCACACTCAGCCTTGCCATCATTGTGGGCGCTAAACAAGGCCAAGTGTATTCTGACACAAGGTAGGTATACTGCAAGACCGGTGACTGACATCCCTTTGGAAATCCAATCTCCACCATTCATGTCCCCTCAAAGCCTGAGCATCCCTGCCTTCCAGGAAGTTAAAGGTAAGCAGAACTGTGGGAGGGCTTGTTGCAGACATGTACAAACCACAGACTGGGCAAACCCTAAAGTGCCCCCTGCCCCAGATAAGGTAATAGTGACTCCACATGAACTCATCATGGAGTACCTACTGCAGGCAGGCACTGGGCACATGACCTCACAGCAACTTCATGCCGCTCTGTGAATGATGGGCAGCAGGGGGAAACTGAGACCCAGGGAGGTTGAGTGCCTTGCTTAAGAGAATTGGAAGAAGAATTGCAAGAGAATTGTAAGAAGTCAGCTTTCCTGAACATACAGAATCCCTGTGGCTATGTCACCCAGATTGGCAGTGGGACAGGAGCTACTCACTGTGGCATCAGAGAGAGGCTCAGGGAGTCGGGAAGTGGGCAGCAGGCAGTGGCAAGATGGTTGAGACTCCCCCAGTAGGACCTCTGTTCATACAGCTGCTCCCACAGGCGGCTAGCAACCAGGACTCTCAGGTCTGACAGGATGATCTAAACAGGGGCTTTTGGTCACCCGGCAGCAATACAATGTCCCTCAGCAACTGGCCATGTCACCTGACCAAGCTTCACGATTGAGACAGGGAAGGAAATCTCCACCCCCTGGGCCCTTATCATTGCCTGTCTGGATGTGTGTAGACATGGCAGGGGTGAAGCTGAGGGAATTCATATGACAACTACTGGGAGCCAGGCACCTTCATACAAACCACTCCATCCTCAGGAAACCTGCTGAAGACAAGGAAATTGAGGTGCATGTTGGGTGAATTAATTTTTCCAAGGCTACCTGGTATGTAAACATCAAAAGCTGGTGTTATGGTTTGAATGTGAGTTGTCCAGCAAATGCAAGAAGGATTAGAGGTGAAATGATTGGGTTCTGAGAGCCTTCACCCAGTCAGTGAATTGATTCCCTCGTGGGATTAACTGAGTGGTGACTGAAGGCAGGTAGGGTGTGGCTGGAGGAGGGGGGTCATTGGGGGTGTTGCTTTGGGGTACATATTTTGCATCCGGCAAGTGGAGTTTCTCTCTGCGTTCTGATCATCATATGAGCTGTTTCCCTCCACCACACTCTTCCACCATGATGTTCTGCGTCAACTCAGGCTCTGAGGAAAGGAGCTGGCTGTTTGTGGACTGAGACCTCTGAAACTGTGAGCCCCCAAATGAACTTTTCCTCCTCCATAATAGTTCTAGTCACAGCAGGAAGAAAAGCTGACGGAAACAGCCAGGTTGTATAATCCTTGCTATTCATGAGGCTGAGGCAGGAGGTTCCCGAGTTTGAGGCCAAACTGGGCAACTCAGGGGGACCCTGTGTAAACTAACAAACAAACAAACGACAGGTGTAGACGTGTCTCGCTCAATATCCTCTGTTATCTTCCACTTCACTCCATCTGTTTCCTGGGTGATCTTCCTGCCTCTGTCTTTGGAAGGCCTTGGCACCAAACCCTTCATCATTGTTACCATTTCCACCAGCATCTCAGTGTTGCCATTATTGCCATGTCTTCCTCACTGTCATGGTCACCTTCTCCTATCCTCATCACCATCACCTCCTCCTCATGATTATCAACATCATCATCACCATCATCCGCAACACCATCACCTCCTCGAATGTTGCTGATAATCAACAAAACTCTCCACTGGTTTATCATTGCTCTCGAGACTAAAAAAATCAATATCACACACACGCGCGCACACACACACACACACACACACACAAAAGAAACAAACAAACAAACAAAAAACCACCAGAAAATTTACAGACTCACACACACACACACACACACAAAATGAAGATCACTATACTTTGGGTCTGAAATGTCCCAC